TGTGTTACATTTTACAACTACTGTGAAAATACCTTATTTTAATAAGAATATCGATGTTTAACATAAAGAAGAAGATATTTGAAAATCATGCACAATGCCGGGCTGTTGAACGCCAGGCTGTTCAAAGTCTGATAAAGCTAACCCAGGATAAGCAAGAAGTTTTATTTTAGTTTTGTAACTTTGCAGTGAGGTTTTCTGTTCATATTGTTTGGCCTTCTGCTTGCAGTTTGAATAATCTAAAACTACACTAAACAGAAGCAGTGAGAAACATTTTTATGTGAGGAAAATTTATACTTTCGTTCACTTTTAATTCTGTGTTAGCATTAATCATCTTCCCAACAACCTGGCCCCTGATTACAACAAGTTAACCTGGTTTGTTTTAGTAACTACATGTAAATTAAATTAGAAGATCAGAAAATTAGAATTAGAAAATTAGAAGATCAGAAACACACACTGACATGGTTTTTTTTATTGGTGGGAATTATGTTTGACAAATTATTGTATGGTGATGGTCTTTCTATTTACTGGTAATACAGATTCAGCAAATAGTTCCTGAAGAAGAGTTTCCTTCATTTATTGAAGCAATACAGAGAGAACTTCCAAGCACATTTCGTATTACAGGAACAAGAAGGTAAAAAGAAGATTAAATAAAAAAAATAATAGTAGAACCAGTATCAAATTCTCAACATGTCTGACATGTTGGGYTCACTAGACATGCACTGAAGTAAACTTCATAAAATTATTACAATATCTTTAGGTAGAGGCTGTAATAATTGAGAATTTTGCCCATATTAACAGCCATATATGGTATATGGTACTTGATAACTATGAGAGCCAGTAAGACTCTCGCTGGTGAAAATCTTATCTTCAAGGATCCTTGAGGATCTTCATGAGGATCTTTGTGAGGATCTTCATCAAGATCTTTAAAGATCCTGGTCAAGATTATTAAGGATCCTCAAGGATCTTCAAGGATCTTAAAACTTCTTGCCAAGATCTTCAAGGATCTTGCCAAAGATCCTGAAGGATCCCAAAGGATCTTCAAAGATCTTGGCAACACCTTCACAAGATCTTCAAAGATCTTTGTCCAAATTGTTCAGTTCTAATAATTACATGCATTAGTTTTTATCAGATTTAAGGACACACAACATGTCACCTGATTTCAGGTGACTCAGGCCCCAACATTAAGCGTTTTGACAAAGGATATGTGCACAATATATATTTGCAAATGAAAAAAAAAAATACTTGTAAACATAAATTTTGTTTATGTAATAATTCTTGCAAAATTTTTCAGAAGTTGTGAACCTAAATTCTCTTCATATTATTTGCTTTTCAAAAAAAAGACA